CCAAGACAATAGTGTTGTATAAATAATAACAAAAGCGATGCCGGCCGCTTGACGGCGGCGCGATTTAAGCGTGTGGCCCATCATAACCTATCACATCTATGTATGGTTTTAATGACAAATGACAAATGACAAATGACAATGATATTGTATAGAAACGAAAAATTACACTATTGCCGGCAATACCCGTAAAACGATTTAACTCAAAAACAGCTTTTACATTGCGAATCTGTCATAAACCAGCAAACGAAATCCCTACGTATTGTTCCGTCGAAGGGAACAAGCTTGTTTCTTTACATAAGCCGACTGTCGATTTTTACTAATGAGTCAGGAACCTTGGTAAACAAACTTTTATCTACTACACAATATGTAATAAACCAACTTAAAGAGGGTGTTGAAATTGGTGGTCAACACTTTGTGCACTTTCTTAAATAATAAATAGAAATGTTTGTTGAAAATTATGAAGCGATTATAAATACAATGCTCCTTGGTACGTGTTTCTACCCATCACATCCTCTTAAATATTTAATGGTTTATCTCGGGAAGTTGACAACCCACGAGAAAATCTTTCGGACAAATGTTACCTATTTTCTCCTTCAGAATATGATAGTATAATAAAAAATTGGGGGTTCCATTTAAGAAAATAAAGTTGACCTTCATATGACCTTCAGGAGCATCCACTGAAAAGATCCATTTCCAACCATCTAATTTGCCCCCTGATACATGACAACTTTTGTCCGAAATATTTTTTCCAAAAATGTGTTGTTTAGAAGATATTGACCTGTCTCGATATATGTGGACCACCCTGTATATTTACGTAGTTTTAGTTTAACAGTTTTTGCAATAGTTAGGTTTTCAAAATTTTTAATCAGTGCAGTAGTTGATTGTGTGTGTTTCTCTCTCCCCAGGAACCAGGCATTCAGACGATATTTATACGATTTTCGATCCATTTTCAAAGTTTATATACTATAACGTGGTGTCACGTATGACCCCCCGTTACAATCGCTGCGCTTTCCCACCTCCCTCTCTAATCCCGTAACCCACCGAAAAACCTCTCCCTCACTTTACCCCTTTTTCCCTGCCCGCCAGTATCGGGCCGATGGAGGCGACGGAAAGGACCCCAGAAGCGAACAACCCCGAGAGGAGCTTCGAGGCCGGCGACAGACCCCAACCCCTCCCAGGAAAGGGAACAACAATGGACCCCGAGATGACACGTCCACCCAGCTCAAACAACAGCAGCAAAAGAGAGCCAGCTGGAGCCATCTATCGCCGAGCCCGAAGACCTCAGCCCGCACCCGTCACCGTCAAGGATCCGTTAGCCCCATCGATCCCGATTACCGGCCAATCAATAATGGATCAACCCCAGGCCCAGGAGATGTCCCAAATCCCCTACGACGGGCTCGTTGCCGATACCGCGACGACGACCTGACACTTTGCGTTACGACGTACTAGAAAAGGATATAGAGATTTTCGAGAGCGAAAGCGATTTGTATAAAGACGATTAAAAGCGATTAGTGGAAGCGTTTGGAAGTGTGTGTGTGTGTGTGTGTGTGTGTGTGTGTGTGAGTGTGTCGCATCAACTCACTGGTGAGTCCCTTTGTTCAAAAGTAGGCGTTCGAGTTTGAGATTGTACGAGACCGGTTCGGTTGTAGGATCGGCAGTGAGACGGGAAAATTATGTACTTGAGTTTGCACAAAAAACAATGTATTTACAGACACTCAGTATGTACACTATTTACAGAAAATTGTGCGTTGCACGAAGGTACAATGATCGTTGATCGAGCTATTCGCACACGCGTCGCGGTGGATTCGAGATTGTGCTTGCGCTGTATAGGACCACGTGTTAGCGTAGCACGTGGCACCACGTAATTATATTAATCACGTGGATTTGCGTACGTCAAAGCTAATCGCGAGTTCGCGTTGGCCGTTGGCACTTCACACGCGGTTAACTTGCAGTACTAGATTCTGAGATTGAGCTTGAGAAATTTGCCTGTCGAGAAAACTGTGTTCGCACGTGTTCGTAGTATGCTAACCAGAACAATAATGGCCGATCAACCGGCTTCGTCGCAGCAAGAACCGTTGGCTTCTTTTTGCTGACGTAACGCTCCCTGATTGGTCGGCGTGACCGGCATCCAAGGTGGCTGCCGGTCGCGCTGCTAAGTGCTGCCGCGGTCCGCGTGCAGGCGGTAGAAATTACATTTTCGAACATTCCGCCCGCCATCAGCAGCTCGTAGAAGATGGTGATGAATCCTGATCCGCTACTGGTAGTAGAGCCAACTTTGCAATTGGCCGAGTTAGAGTTGAGGTGGCCGTCTTGATCGTGACGACCCTCGTCAGTCCATCTGGTCCAGGGTGAACTGCGAGCACTCGAGCAAGAGGCCACTTGCATGGTGGGAAGCGCTCGTCTGCAAGCAGCACCAGAGATCCAACGTGGATGTTGTTGGAAGGGTGATGCCACTTAGAGATTGATTGCATCCGTTGGAGATGTTGAGTTGACCAGCGCTTCCAGAATTGTTGTAATTTTTGTTGTATGAGATGCCACCTGGCTCTCGGTGAGATGTTGGCCTGTTCAACAGATGGCTCAGGCAGCGTTGAGATTGCTCTTCCGATTAGGAAATGAGCTGGTGTTAGCACTGAGAGATCGTCAGGGTCGTCCGTGAGAGGCTCCAGTGGTCGTGAATTAAGCGTTGCTTCAATCTGATTTAGAAGAGTATAGTATTCTTCAAAGGTGAGTAAAGTGTCACTCACCGTGCGTCTGAGATGGTATTTGACAGACTTGACCACTGCCTCCCACTTTCCTCCCATGTGCGGTGCAGCAGGTGGATTGAAACTCCAAGTTGTATGGTCGTCGACGAACAGCTTGGCCAATCGTTGATTGTCTTGAGTGCCCTCGACGAACATTGATTTCAATGCTGAATCTGCTCCGATGAAGTTTGTTCCGCAGTCGGAGTAGATTGTATGTGGAATGCCTCTTCTTGCAGCGAACCGTCGGTACGTGGCAACGAATCCATCCGTTGAATAGTCGGTAACCATTTCCAGATGAACAGCAGACGTTGTCATGCAAACGAAAACACAGATCCAGCCCTTTTGTGTTTTCGCACCTCGCCCCTTCCACGTCTTGAGTGCGATGGGACCGGCGTAGTCTACGCCGGTGTGTGAGAATGGGTGTGAGGGTGTAACCCGAGAGAGAGGTAGTTGGCCCATCAGTTGATGGGCACGGATCCCCCTCTGCCGAGCACACACAACACACCGCAGAATGTGAGATTTGACTGGAGCTCGTCCACCGATGATCCAGTAAGTCTGTCTGATGTGAGCGAGTGTGAGTTGTGTCCCTCCATGAAGCGTTGCTTTGTGGGAGTGATCTACAATCAATTCGGACAGACGTGAGTGACGTGGAAGGATTGCAGGGTGTTTACCTTCATAGGTTAACTGAGCGTTGCTGAGTCTTCCTCCAACTCGAATAACCCCTTGATCGTCGATGAAGGCCGTGAGTCGATTGAAGGCGTGGGACGATGGTAACGTTTGGTTGTTGACCATCATCTTGAGCTCGTGTGAGAAGTATGCTGATTGTGTGGCCTTGATCCAGAAGATTTTGGCCCTTTCCAAATCAGCTGGTGTGTTCGAGAGCCTCGTTGAAGCAGTTGTCCTTCTCAGTTTGGAGATGAACCTGTAACAAACTGAGGTAACATGAAAAAGTTTTTGCAAAGATGAATATTTGTGAATCAAGTCCCAGTGATAATCGATTTTTTGGCACGTTAACACGTGAGAGATTCCTGGGCGACACTCCTGCAGGCAAGTGTCGTCAGATGCGTTGCGTTGTACAGGCCATGATTCTTGAGATTGTAAAAGCCACGGTGGTCCCCTCCACCATAGCTCGTGTTGTTCAAGCTGAGTTGTAGTCAATCCTCTTGAAGCGCAATCAGCAGGATTTGATGTGCCAGGAACGTGCACCCAAGTTGCAGTTTGCGTTAGTTCTTGAATTTGTGTTACACGATTCCTGACGTAATCTTTCCATCGTGATGCGTGAGATTTGATCCATGTAAGTGTTACTTGAGAATCCGTCCACAGGTGAATTGTAGCAATGTTGAGTTTGAGATTAGCTTGAACGTATTTCAGTAATTTTGCAAGTATCAGCGCAGCTGTGAGCTCGAGTCGGGGAATTGTAAGCCTTTTGAGAGGTGCGACCTTTGTCTTGGAGCACACCAGTGACGTCACCTTGAGATCTGTGGACGGCGAAAAAACAGTAATGTAAATTACTGCTGCCATGGCGAGTTGTGAAGCGTCAGAGAAGCCGTGTAATTCCACTGTAGAATTGTTGTAGGTGTTGAACCACCTTGGTATTGAGAGTCTGGCCAGACTTGTGAGATCTTCTCTGATCGCAATCCATCGTATAGTAACATGGGATGGCAGTGGATCATCCCATTTGAGATTGAGAAGCCATAATTCTTGCAGGAGTACCTTCGCTCGAATAATGACTGGTGACAAAAAGCCAAGCGGATCAAATATCTGTGCTACTTCAGATAATACAAGGCGTTTTGTAAAATTGAGATTGTGGTGAGATTTAGTAGTGAATGTGAAACTATCGTTGACAGTGTTCCATCGCAATCCGAGTATTTTGGTGTTGCAGTCGTCTAGTGAGATTGATGTACCTTGAGAATTATTGCAAGGCACGATGGTTTCAAACAGAGAGGCTTCGTTTGAGTGCCACTTTGCAAGAGGGAAACCGCCCGCGTTGCACAAGTCAGTTAATTGTGAAGCAATTTCAATTAACGAATCAAGAGAATCTGCACCACCAAATATGTCGTCGACATACCTTGCATATTTGATTGATGGTACTGCCAGTGGGTAGCGTTGACCTTCGTCCTCTGCAAGTTGCAACAGGGCTCTGACAGCTAGAAATGGTGCAGCTTTGGTACCGTAGGTGACTGTTGTCAGTGTGTATGGGACTTCATTTGATTCCTCATCTATCCAGAGTATCCGTTGGAGATTCCAACCGTCTTCATGTACTCGTACTTGACGATACATCTTTGTGATGTCCGTGGCGAATATGCATTTGTGATGGCGAATCCACAGCAAAACGTCGTTGATGTTGAGCAGGAGATTCGCACCAGTGTGCATGATGTCGTTGACAGAAAGTCCAGTTGTTGTTGGACTTGAGCCATTGAAGACGACCCGCAGCTTTGTTGTTTCACTGCCAGGCTTGAAAACTCCGTGATGTGGAAGATAGTAAATTGAAGAGTCGTTGGGCGAGATTGAAGAAGCCTTCTTCATGTGACCGAGGTCCTCGTACTCCATCATGAATCGCTGATATTGCTCACGGTACTCAGGATTTCGAGTGAGCTTGCTGAGCGTGCGTCGCAGGCAGGAGCGAGCTGTGCTGTAAGAGGTACCCAAGACTTTAGTATTTGTTTTGAGAGGAATACGCACCACGTATCGCCCAGTAGAATCACGGCTGTGCGTTGCACGAAAGTGATCTTCACACTCTTGTTCGTCCGGTGTGAGTTGAGATGTGTTTTCCGTTGGAAGCTCCTCTTGAATCCAGAATTTCGTCAGCAGTTCTCTCAGAGCAGCGTCGCTGTCTTGAGAGATTGATGCATTAAATGATGAATAAGCACGAGCTTGACGCCTCCTTGCTGGTCCAATAACGAGCCATCCGAATATTGAGAGCTGGGCGACTGGCATTGATGGCGAACCTTTAATTACATTTGATTTTATAATTCGTCCATAATTGTCGGCACCGATGATGACGTCGATGGGTCGTGGTTTGTAAAACTCAGGATCTGCCAACTTGAGACGATTGAGATGTGGCCAGTCTTGGTGGGGTGCCTCAGAAGACGGCAAAATTGTGGTTAGAGTGCGTAACACATGAGTTTGTATTGAGATCGATGAGGTATTGTAAAGAGATTGTAAATGTAGTGATACAATACCTCGAGTTTGTGTTGATTTCTTGCCACCAATGCCAGTGATGGAGATTGAAGATTGAGTGCGTTGAAGTCCTAGCTGTTCGACGAGATCTTCAGAAACGAAACTGAGCTCCGATCCGGAGTCGACGAGCAGCCTTGCGTTGTAGGTCGTGGATGAGGTGATGACTTGTGCATGTGCTGTTGCTAACAGCGTTAGCTCGGCTTGCGTCGCAAGCGAGCTTGATCGTTGATCGTTTGTGTTGGCGGTTGTACTGGATCGTTGACCCATTGAAATCGTGCTTGAGTGCTTGACGACTGCACCTACACTTTATTGTGTTTGTGTTGAAGAGGACGACGTTGTCGGATTCTCTTGTGTTGCCGCAGGCTTGGCTGTGGTCTGTGGCTGCGTTGCAGCCAGGTGTAGAATTGTGTGATGAGGCCGTCCACACTGTTTGCAACGGTGTTCAGACTTGCAATTCGCAGTGGTGTGACGGCCGCAACAATTTCTGCACAGAGACAGTTTGTCCACTAGACTTCGTCTTTCTGGTACAGGCATCGACCTGAACTTTGTGCATGACACAATGAAGTGGTCGGCCTGACAACAGTCGCACGGATAGGCGTGTGCGGCTGCTCTTGTGGTGGTGTTAGCCTGTGACGTTGTCAAGGCAGGTCGTTGACCTGTTGGTTTCGCCTTTGCCTGAGGTTGAGCAGGCTGATTTTTGGCCGTTGGCGTTTCAACCCTTTCTAGAGCCCGTGCCTTGGTCGTCAGGAACGCCTCCAGTTGCTCTGGCTTCGGAAATTCTTCAGAGTTTCCTAGGCTGGTTTCCCAAGCCTCTCGCGTAGTCTTGTCAAGACTACGAGAGATGTGATGGATGAGTGTGCAATTCCACAACTCGTCGGTTGAAGCAAGAGCGCGCAACGAGGTGTTGAAATCGCGCAAATTGGCCGCCACGTTGTGGAGAACCATTGCGCTCTTCTGTTGCACTGGTGGTGTCGCACAGAGCTTGTCAAGCAGAGATTGTACGATGATTCTCTTGTTCTCAAAGCGTTGCTTTAAATTCTTCCAAGCAATTGGGAAGGATTCTCCTATCGCCGGCAGGTTGGAGATGGCGCGTAGCGACTCCCCTTGGAGGCTTGACCTCAAGTAATGCAGCCTCTCCACATCAGATAATCGGTGATTATCGATGATTATCGATTTGAAAAGCTCGCAAAACGCAGGCCACGCTTCATAGCGACCCGCGAAAGTGGGAAGCGTCAACTCAGGGAGTTTCGACGGCCTTTGTCGTGATGGTGATGCTGCACGCGCTGCGTGCAGCCTTGCGAATGCGGCCCGAAACTTGCACAGACGTCGTCTGATTTCGATGACCACGCTCATCTCGAGGTCGTAGCAATTGTCGCTGACATATGGATGGGAGTTCTGACCCGAAGGCCAGGTAACTTCAAGGTAGGAATGCTCCTTTTGGAACGCCTTGTGTATTTCATCGACCTGCTTGTCGATGAAGTCGATCTCGTCGAGAGAAGTTTCATCCATCATTTCCGGCATCTTGTCCATTAATTTGCGGAGGCCTTCGACTCTACTCATTTGCGTCTTGGCCTTCATGGACAGCTCCGTTGACAAGCCGGCAGGAGATGAGGCGCGTGTTACGCGTTTTTCCACCGTCGGTGGAGGTGCTTCTGCCGGTAGTACCGTTGGCACTGTCAGCGTTGCTGATGTCACCGGCGTGGGTGACGTCGGTCTTGAGGCCGACTTGGCTTCCTGTGGCGTTGCCTTGGGAACTTTGTCACCTTTCTCACTCATTCTAGTCACTGAGTTCGAGATTTCACTAACAACGTTGTTGCCGAGCACAACCCGTCACTGCCGATCCGGCTCGAAGGACCAAAGAAATGTTCAAAAGTAGGCGTTCGAGTTTGAGATTGTACGAGACCGGTTCGGTTGTAGGATCGGCAGTGAGACGGGAAAATTATGTACTTGAGTTTGCACAAAAAACAATGTATTTACAGACACTCAGTATGTACACTATTTACAGAAAATTGTGCGTTGCACGAAGGTACAATGATCGTTGATCGAGCTATTCGCACACGCGTCGCGGTGGATTCGAGATTGTGCTTGCGCTGTATAGGACCACGTGTTAGCGTAGCACGTGGCACCACGTAATTATATTAATCACGTGGATTTGCGTACGTCAAAGCTAATCGCGAGTTCGCGTTGGCCGTTGGCACTTCACACGCGGTTAACTTGCAGTACTAGATTCTGAGATTGAGCTTGAGAAATTTGCCTGTCGAGAAAACTGTGTTCGCACGTGTTCGTAGTATGCTAACCAGAACAATAATGGCCGATCAACCGGCTTCGTCGCAGCAAGAACCGTTGGCTTCTTTTTGCTGACGTAACGCTCCCTGAGTGGTCGGCGTGACCGGCATCCAAGGTGGCTGCCGGTCGCGCTGCTAAGTGCTGCCGCGGTCCGCGTGCAGGCGGTAGAAATTACATTTTCGAACACCCTTATATTATCTAAAATTGTGATTCTGAGCTCCAGTCACGGTACCTTCTTCGTCCGCTCGTTTATACTCCGCGGTTTCGTCGTAACCCCCTTTTTTCCAATCCCCTTTAAATTTCCCTTATTTCGACCCCGCCTCGACGCGTAACGTAAAGGAACTTTTCCGTGAACCCTTCCCACCCTGAGATTTCCCTACCCTAAACTATCCTCCTCGCGTACTCCCCCGCGAAGTATTGTTACGGCCATCCCGGAAGAGCCGCGAAATCCATCCCCTGTATAGTCCCCGATTTTCCCTTTGTTCCCTTTTGACTTCAATCGCCACAGTGAGTGGCTGGCGCCCAACGATTTGTATTGTGAGTTTGTATAGAGTGCACCCACGTTATAACGGGTCACAATACATATATTTTTGGCGAGTTATTTTCCTTTACTCTTCCAGTTATATTTTTATGAATATTTTGGCAAGGAATTTCCAGTAGTCAGTATTTGACTGTAGGATTGCCCTAACTGGAAATTTCTAAATTTCATCTTTCCAATAATCGTTTTCTTCTGTAACCATTAATTGTGTCTCAATCATTATTGTACACAAACTAAATTTGTATTCATATTTTGTTCAAAATTTATTATTGTATACCACATTTCATTTATTATCTTTATAATATACTATTTTTCATTTATTCTAACCAATTTTCATTTTTTTTAACATAACCTTTGTATTAGCCTCCTTTATTATTTCTGTAATATTAGCGATCTGATAAAAGGACCCGTATGGGACTAGCGTACCTCCGAACCCACAATATTTTTAGACCCAATAGCAATAGAAATTGTTAGGGTAAATTTTCTGGCTTTAAGGTGTCATACGCGCGTTACGTTTACCGGTGTTACGTAGCCGATCGCTAGGCAGCGCGTGAGGCTTTCGGATGAGAGGTCGCGTAACTTATATTTTATTATTGTCAATACAATCCGAACGGTTAGATTGTATTGTTGTGGGAACTGTCACTAGTTTCACTGGGTTTGAAGAAGAATGCTAATGTGGGTTTGACACAGTAATGTACATATTTTACATATCAGGCTATTACAGTTGTTCTTGTCGCGTTATAGGTGTGTATATTGTATATTACCTCTTTCCGCTGGGTGCTCGGTTTTGACGTACTGGCAATGCGGGGTGTCGTGTGTGGTTGTTAAGAATGCCAAATAAAAACACAGACGGTACTCATTTTATAAGGTTAAATAAGATTCTATAAGGTTAACTTTGCTCGAAGGGGACTTCAACCCGATCTCACTAAACAGCAACCAGTTCACGATCGCACACGATGTGCTCAACACTAGATGAACTTCGGTACTGCCCCAGAATGTTGGTACGAACAGGTTTATATACTAATTAGAAAGGGGCGATCTGATTACTATTTAGATGATCGGGCTGGGCCCATCTGTTTCTGTGACAGTTTGGAGTGGTTGCAGTTGTTGTGTAATTACGGTGGACCTACTGCTTTCCCAAAACATTTGGTTTTGTTATCCCTGGGCCTTCTGTTTATTTCAAGAGCAAGCGGCCTGTTTACCTGAGAGTTTCCTTTCCAGATGTTAAAGGTTTATTTCTTAAAAGAGGCATGTTTGATAAAACGATCTGCCTACATGACACCGGCAGTCACATTACTCGACTACCACACTACCACATTACACACTTTTACACTCATACAATACATACATGTTACACTTACACCTCGTAACGTTCCAAATACACGCGCGCGCGCAGCACGTAACAGTGCAAACCACGTGTATTCACAGGTACCAATAAGTAGTTGCCCTGCGGGCACAATATTCCTCTCATTGATAAAAGTGAAAGGATGGATTGACAACACTGGATGGATGGGCTTGATCTGCTTATCACGTTATTAACCATTGGTAGTAATAGCGACGGTTAACTTTCAAGGCACAATCACGGTCAATTTTCAAGGCACAATCACGGTCAATTTTCAAGGCATTACTGTATAATAATAAATTCGTTACCTGTTCATAATTGAATTTCAACACCTTGTCCATGTAATTCGGTAATTCATTAACTAGAGTCCAGTATCCCCAATTTTGTCCACAATGTACAATTATGAGAGCCCACATCGGTACCGAAGTGAAAATAGCTTTCCATGGTGTTTTCTTTTTCTGTAGTAAATATAAGCATAATGTTTAAAATTAGTATTATTTAACAAATTTTTTAAATTTATAGTTTCAGAAATAAGACACTTTAGATTTCCCAATACAGAAAAACCTAGATAAGTACAAGAAAATCGGAACACAAGCATTTCGTTTATACAGGGTGTTTCAGAACTCGCGTTGGTCCCGTGAAGGGGTGGTAGCTGGGGTGATTCTGAACATTTTCCTGTGCGAAAATGTTGTATGAAGCTTCATTATTGAATTATTAAGGAAAAACACTGGCAAATCAGGGCGCGCATAGCGCGCGGGCTCAGGGGCGGCAGCATCGACTATGAAAGCGGGGTTTGACGTAGGTTGCGAACGAACGGCTCGGCACCTCGTTGGCACAGCACAATAAAAAAATTGAACTGATTGAACATTTTTAGTTGTTGTTTAAAATGATTACGGAATCTAATCTCTTGTCGCCTGTCATAATGTAAAGAAGGAAATTTTGAACATTCTAATGTTACGTACGGAGTAGGCGTAGTGGTAGGCGACTACTCTGCGGAAGTTTGTGATCCGACGTAACGCTTAAACACCTTTTATGAAGTAATAGTATTATGGGATTCGGATTCGGTCTAGACTTATACAAGCCTTTCGTTCGTTGGATACAGAGTTGGGTATTGTTACGCCCCGGCGGAAAATTTGACATTTATCCGCCTTGCGTCCCTTATCAAGTCTTTTTGGGTTACGAGAATTTCTCATGTAAGGGGCGTACAGGCGAGTGTTTCGGTTTTCCGCCAATCTTTCCATTCCTCCTCAACCTTGTACATTCTTGTCAAGCCTTTCGAGGTTACGAGGATTCCTCATGCAGGGATGTAAAAGGAAGAGTTTGAGTTTAATTCTTTTCTATTTTTGACTTCCTCTATCGCTTTCTCTTCTTTACCTGCTCTACCCTGGAATCGTGTATCTCGTCAAGCTCTTTCGAGGGTTACGAGAATTTCTCATGCGAGGTACACGAGGAAAGGCCGTTTCTATTTTCTACTTTTCAATAGTTTACGTGACCCTCCTTGAAACTATCGTCGCCAGCCATTGTAACATAAGAGACTAATACGCACAAAAACTCGGGTTAGCTCGAGTGAGAGAGAGAGAGCCGTAGCAATAACACCAGCGCTACGCAGTTAGCCAGTGCTTCGCATTTCGGGAATTTCCCTTGGTAACTGCGTAGAAACGGGAAAATCGTAATAACTCTTTTGTTAGAAACCTCTTTCTCACTCCGTTGCACAAAGCGTCAGCCGGTCCAACAAGGATCATCTTTACCTGATTGTAACGATAGTATGAGAGAGTGGATGGATGAAAACAAATTTAAACAATGAAAGTAAGAATTGAGAACCCTTACGAAAGCGAACGTCGCGAACGTTCGACCGCCGTTCGAAAATCAAGGGTCGTTCGAAGCAATAAACACTATTGTATCGAAATTCTAAGAACTGCCTAGCGATAACGGCAAATTTGAACAAAGGAACGTTCTCGAAGGAACGTTCGCCAGATTTAGAATTGTTTAAAATTCATAAAATGCGAAATACCGAATTCATCGAGGCGATAGTTTTAATGCGCGACAGATTGCATAATTAGCCACGGCGTTACAACCACCGTAAGCGCATCAACCGCTTTCAAACATATTAAATCATACTGTCTTTTGCAAATCGGGAATGAATAATTTTGATCATGACATTCGGATGACGGTTTCCTATCAAAACCTTTATATTTCAATTTCAAATCTCATTCTGCATTCCAATTAAACTAATAGTCATATCTCGAATAATGCCATTAATTGATTATATGTATAATGATAAATACTGCATAGTTTCTGGAAACCGTTGAAACTATGTATCATGGCGACGAATAAGAAAAGGAAGGAACACCAAAGAAAGGGGATGAAAGATCTTCGTCTAGCTCGCGCGTCTTAGCCAATCACCGGGCACGCGACACTTCCGAAAACGGGCTACGATTCGCCAAACCGTCCCCTCCAAGGACGATGTTCACGCGTCGGGCCTTTCGGCCATCGATCGCGCACGAAATTTGTCACTCTTGATCGATCAATCGTCAGGTACGTGATCGGGAGCCCGTGTGTCCGAGAGACAGAGTTGTTCGGAATTCGTGATAGATTTCCTCTGCGGTAAAGTCCTCCGCGTAGCGAGGCAGAGTGCCGTGGTAGTTGAAGTAATCCGTTTCTTAACAAGGACTCACAGACGCGCACGTTAAATTTTCCCTCTACCTAAATTTTCTATCATTTCTTTCCTTTTTTAAACCGTTTGCTCGCGCAGTTTTCGTATTAACTTCACTCCGCGTAAATCATATATTGATCGTTTTCGTAATAAATTGTAATTAATCGTAACTCGTTATTCGTTTGTCTCTCGTCGACGTACTCGTCCGTTTAAATTCGTTCCGCCGCGACAAGTGCAGTGATCAACGTCTTACCGTTTCTTTGGTGTTCTAGATCATCAGGCGAATACACAGAATTTAGCAAACGAATATTGTAATCTTGTTTCGCATTATACAGTGTAACGGTAAGTCGTTTCAATTACATTTTTCGATCACGACGTTCATTGATTGGCAAAACGGGTGATCTGGTCCAGCCCTTCAGGGTTACGAGAATTTCTCAGGTCAGATCGTTCCACCGTACGAGGGAGGTATCGATATTATCCAATATTCAATATTATTTTTGCGTTTATTACAATTTCAAAATTCTGATCTCTCCATCATCTAAAGGGCACCTTAGTCCAGCTCTTTCGGGAGTTACGAGAATTTCTCAGGCTAGGGTGTACCGCGGGCGGAAACCGCCGATTTTACAGCTAAATATAGGAAGCGAAATTGTAATAATCGATTCACGCGACCGGTACACTAGTCTAATGTTTCAACTGTGATATCAGAGTGTTTTCATATTCATATATATATATATTTTGTTAATTAATTTTAAGCATCTTTACACTTGTACACATTTTTGCAAAACTGGTAATTCTAATTTAACGGAATTTCTAAATTATTGAACTCTTAACTTTGTCATTTCACAGTATTTTGCACTCACAATTAAACCAGTTTCATTTAGTTAAACAGTTTCCATTTACTTCAAACACACCTCACGCATTTCAGCCAAACACGCCTACCAACATACTCAGATTCAAGGAGGGTCCCGTACGGGACCAAGCGTTGAACGAACCCAACGAAAGGCTAATAATTATAATCTTTTAACATCTTATCAATTTTGTCTTTCGTTTTTTAATTTGTCGAGAACGTTAACACGCTAGAGACTGGTGGCAGCGATACCAACCATCGCGCTAAAATAGGAAAGTAGGTATTGGGGGTTGAATTCCAACCAATTAATTGAAATTTAACCACCTGTATCCTCCAATTTTTATCTTTCCTTTTTACGTTGCGCCGTCGCACGCGCAACGTAACAGTATACGCAACAAATAATTAGCAAAATTGAATAAATAACTATTATATATATTACCCCAAAGAAATGATTGGTTACAAAGTCGATTTGTTATACTTTTCAAACGGAAAAGATGTTACAATTTCCTTAACAACCGAGGACAGAGTATACAGATTTTGATTGGGACTCACCGGATGAACAAAAACGGTTAACGAGTTTGATAGAGCGCTGCCCTCTCTTTCCCTTCCTCTCGACGCACGGATGATCGAAATTATGGGTGTACACTGAGTCTTAATGTCTTTCACTAACGGTTCTATCGGTAAATGAGTTGAAACTGGTCTTTCTTTAACGAGGAAAACTGAGTCTTTTCGCGTGACACTACTATTCACGGAACTCTGCTCGAAGCATTTTAAAATACTAGGCGTTCCTCGGACAGAGAGACCGCGCACCTCGCGACTGTATGGCCGACTGTGTTCGCTATTGCCCGTAATCGTGTTTTTATTATGGCCGAAAATGCTGGTTTTGCATGGGTTGAGAAAAGAATTCACTAGTGTATTGACCTGTTGGAATGTCGGTGCATTGGCACAACTTTTCGACGAAGTGTTTAGAGAAGAAGAAAGAATTCGTTGACGCTGGTGACTCTAAGGAGGTCAGTAAATGAACTGATTTCATGATTGCTAATGCTTTCGTCATTTGAAATCGGAGATAATAGAATTTTCTTTGCCGGGACGTAACACTAAACAACAAATAAAAATGTTTGAAATGGAATAATTAAGAAAAATTTAAAAATGATTTAAATGAAACTTACCCATTCGTTCCTAAATTAACCTGCTATGCTAAAAGCAGATAATTCTCACTGGGTCATTATGTCGATCTTAAACATTCGAGGAGGGAACAAATTTCGAAGAACAGCTGATCTCCAGACAAGATCATTGAACTCACTCAACCACACGATCATTTTCACCTTTCACAGAATTTTCGTTCATGTAAATAAATATTTTTATTCACTGTCACGTTGCACAGATGAAAAACATGTAATATTCTGCACTACTTCATAACGTTTTCACAACGTTGTTTCTTTTCCTACTTCAAATGGGACTGCCATGCCAACTTGATTGTTGCGAAGTCTGTTTGGCTTTTTGTCTTTTTCTACGTTCGGTGACTTCAAAGGGTCGACACGAGTCTCCCTCGGTTACTCTTGGTTATCGAGAATAACAGATTTATGACCACGAACCATGACCTATTTTCGAATGTAGCAAAAGACAAAGAGCGAAACAAACCTCGCAGACGCTCAAGCTAGCAGTCACATTCGAAGTTGGAAAGGAAGACCAATAACGTCGTGAAAACATTACGAAGTACAGTAAAACCTGGATAAATGCAACCGAGATTGGGACTCGTTGCTCTATCATTACTCTCATTGGCAAAGTTAGTTCACTTCGATCTGTTGAGTGGTTGCATTTATCCAAGCGAGGTGTCGAATCTCGGGTTACACGCGACGATCAGCCAAGCGTGAACGTAGAAAGGGACAGACAGTGGCGGAAAGAGAGAGGTTCGATGATCAAAGGAAAGAGCCGAAACGTATCGGTGTGACTAATAC